TGGAACCAAGGGTAAAAAATATATTTTTTTTTTCCTTTTTTTTTTTTTTTTTTTTTTTTTGATGAATGAAAAGTTTTTATTATAAAAGAGAGTACAAGGGGTACTCACTCATATATTACACAAAAAACACCAATAAGGTTTTAGGGATCCACTACACAGTAGGTTGGGAATTGACACCAAAAGTTTTACCTATACTTGATTTGAATGGTGATAGGTATAAAGTTTTAATATCCAATAGTTACTTAACTATTGAAAATCTATACATGTTACTCAATCCACTAGTGCAGGTGTACTCACCAGTATACCTTATATCCATTACATATTATAACCTTTGATATAGATTAATACATAATTAAATATATTTTGAAACATATACCTTTGTTGATAAATAATACATATACATAAGAAAATATATAAGTTCATACTTATAACAAAATACATAAGTTGGAACATAAACACAAATTCATACATATAGCAAAATATGTGAGTATATACACATTTACATGTTTACACATACAACAAAATGCACATAAACCAATCCCATAAAATTTTCCTTCATTAGAATCTTCCCACGTGAAGGGAAAAAAAAAAAAGCATAAACATTCTAGTTTCTCAACCATATATTGCAAAATTAAGTATAGAACTAGAATATGATCTTTAGATTACAAAATTCTAGTGTAGTTAAGCAATTTTTGTATAAATTATAATGATATTCAATATAATTAATTTAAAATTATTACTTTTTATTTTGTCTAAATTAAAAAAATTTTAAATAATTTATATATTTATCCTCATTACTTTTAAAAAATAAACAACAAATAAATAAAGACTTTTGTGATAGGATGAATAATTAAAATAAATATATAATAATAAGTTAAAATAAGAAAAAAAAATATTTACCTAAAAAAAATGTAAAAATGACAATTAATTTAAAAAATTCAAAGTTTAAGAAAGATAATTATTTTGAGATGGTGCTGGAACAAGAAACTACCCTGTAAGACCTCAAATCGATCGCTCATACCTTTCCCCCTGTCCCTTCTCCCGCCAAAGTTCCTTCACCACCCTTTTCATTCATGCGAGGTACAATTATTATTATTATTATTATTATTATTATTATTTAACAAAATATAGGGACGGAGAAATACAAAGAAAGAACAAAGAGGATTTTATTAATTTTAGATGAAGCACTCTTAACGTTCACAAAAATAGTTAACATCTCTAAAAATGTAACAGTAACTCAGGTTCAATTCCAGATGTCGTTTAGTAATGAGAGTTTTCCGCTTCTTATCTGACAACCGCATGAAAATCACAACATTGATTAAAGGTCGTCCTCAACTCCCCATAACCCAGACCCCGGAAGATGGTAAGTGAAGGGTAGTCATCCCTCAATCGATGCCGTCAGGGATCTATTCTCTTGTATCCCTATTCCCCAAGTTGCCAAAAATAAAAAATAAATCCTACTCCGTAGGTTCGTTCTGCCAGCTTTGGGCTATCCTTCCTTTCGCCCAATAGATGCAGGAATATTTAGCAAGAGAAACCCATAGCGCTTCCCTGGGAATTGAGGAAAAAAGACAACGAATACAATCCGTAAAACCTTCTAAAAGATCAATTTGTGCATGAATTAGCTAATGAATATACCCTGTAAGATTCTTGTTAACACAATAATATTAAAAGAAACTGCATTTCAAATGCAGTCTCTCTAAACCATGTGGTTTCCAATAAAAATAACACAACCACACGGGGCCATCTTGTTTACAAATTATAAAAGAATAGCTCTGGCAAAAGACCCAAGCTTATATCCAAACCTCAAATGTTAATCATCCCAACTTCCATTTTAACAAAACAACCTACTATGATATACAATTTACAAATTATACCGGATCCCATTCATGGCTCTAACCCTCCAACCGTTGATAACAGAGTATGAGACATTGAATTATACTAGGCAGCAGCAGCAGCAGTGGCTACCTCCGTAGAGTTACAACTGCACAGGGCCTCTAGATATCTTTAATGGGGGGTCTGCTTATGTCCAATGCTGGTGTTTTCCACCTCCTGCAAAAACAGTCAAGGTAACGAAGCATTTACCAGAATCCTTGCCTAAGTTTGGTTGGATGGTGAACTAATTATCCAATAATCAAACTACAAAAATAAGGTCAATAAGAAGTGCATGGTAAAGTAGGAATAGCTATTCCATTCTTGGTACATATCCTATTCTAGTATGTAAAGGGTGGGACTAGTTTACCCCCAGAAAATAGGTGAATGGCGAGACTAACTAAAACCTAGGAGGACATGTTGCTGGCTATTCCCAACTAGTTCTGGATCAAATTAGATAAAAATTGGTGCAAACAAGGAATTGCTGTTCACACTATGACATGATATCCCTATAATTCACTTATTTTTATGGTTTGACAAAGCAATAATCACTAAATACAACCAAACACAACACACTGCTTTTAGTGAAAACAAGAAACAATGAGACTTCATATAAATGTAGATACATTTTTATTAAAAATAAATCAATCTGGCACTAGTGCAACTTAAAAGACGTGAAAACCAATGCATTCTTTGTTCTACTAAAATACTCCCAGACAATTCAGATCTACAATAGGGGGTGTCTTAAAATTTTCTTATTGACAGTATCCACTTTACAAACATGGTCAGGCTTGCATTATAAGCTCCTTGCATCCCCAGGCTGGCTTCTCAAATATATCCTGAATGTTCTCTATCAGAACTTTTAAGTTCCTTCTCTTCATTCTTATAAACTTGAGTCTAACCTAAAAGATTTATTATTATTATCATTATTATTATTATTATTATAGTCTATAAGATGTATTAAGACTATAACAGCCAGAAAATAATAGTAACAGGAATATCAATGCAGCTTACTAACCTTTAACAATGACAAGGAACTGTTGTGAGATTGTGTGTGTCCTTTTGCATGCATATGATGAAGACGCTGCATTTGCTCAAATTGTTGCAGCCTTGAAGCAAAATTAATACCATTTTGTGAGTTCCCAATATCACAATCTATGTCACCATCCTCAGTGATTTGCGATCCACTTGGCATATGTTGGATGATGTGAGAATAAGGGTTTCCTGAAGATGTGTGTTTAATTTGCTCGCCACTGAAGGAGTATGACGGTACAGTTTTTAAACGAGTTCGTAGTATCTTGAATGCGACACTTTGCTGCATTTAAAATCAAATGGTCAGCATTATTTTACTGAGGGAACTAAAAGCATTGTATGAGAAAGGTATAGAATTAAATAAATGCTACCAGACATTAATGAGAATATGAAAAAGCATATGAAAGTATTTTAAACCCATCTATGGTGACCTTAACCTTATCATGTAAACAACATTCACATCAACACAATCATCCACTCTCCACATTTTGACATTTTACAAAGTTACAACCCTTGGATTTCCCTTCAATTCTAAACATATATGGATTACTAAATAACTAACCACTCAGTCTCCACAGAGAACACAATAAAAATCAGATATGAAAGTAACGAATGAAACAATTGCCTTTTGATGTCAGAAAGCTTCCATAAAGAATAGAAGACATGCAGCTGAGATCATAAATATACCTGTGGGAGTAACATGAGAAGACCATACAATGCTTTCAATAACCATATGTATCTTCCAGGTTCAAGAAGCTGGAGAGAAAACAAGAACAGGATCAGATACCCAACCAATTTTCAAAAATAACGATGCTAAAAATAATCAAATGTAAGAAAAAAAGCAGACACTAATTAAACTAATTTGCCCAAAATAAGAGACTTGTGCATAAAAATATAATCTACAAGCTGAAAACCACTGATCAGTACATTATGAAACAAAACTGTCTGCTAAGAACCATCCATTAGATAATTAAGCAAACACTAGAATATTAGGAGCGGAACCAGAGGATGACAAAAGTCACACATTTAGACACTAGACATGGATATCTACATGCTTTATGTGCATAATGGCAGAATATAGCAATAATAAAAGGGACAATTCAAACTTACTCCCTATGGGGTGGGTGCACTCAACTCCCAAATCAAAAAAATGTGCACTTAACCCCCCAAATCACAAGAATGTGCACTTGACTCCCTTGTGATTAGAAAAATGTGCATTTAAATCCACAAGTGACCAAGTCTATTAAATAGTTGAAGCTAACAAGTTAAAAGTGGTTGGGGGTCAAGTGCATATTTTCATGATTTTGCAGTTAAATGCACATTTTTGTATTGGGAGGTTAAGTGTACACAACATAAACCACATCGGGGGGGCAGAACCAAGAGCAATTTGCCCTTGTAAGGGGAAAAAATGTTCTAATAAATAAAATGATTTACTCAAGTATTCCCCTTTGGACTAGCCAATCAAACAAGAGTGTACATAAACAATCATGAGCACAATCTTGTAAGGCAGATATAAGTAGAATATGCGCATTTTTTACACCTGCAGTCTAAGATAAGCAAAGATTGGAGTTTCAAGCAAGTGTATTAATTTATCAAGCTGGACCAAGAATTTGACATTAATGTCTTCCTCTACCAGAGACTGGATCACAGCACTTGCATGCTGGTATGTCTGTCAAGCATGAAAGTAACTAATCAGAGATGCAATAAAATAATTAAAATAATAAACACAGATAACAATGTACATAAAACATACATCCCTCTTCGTCCACCAAACCAAGATGCAACCATGTAAGGCATAAGAGTGATCTGGCTGGCAAAGGGAAGGTTCAATATTCTTACCTGAGCTAATAGACAGAGACTGATAATGGCCATGGGTGAATGGCGCCATGAAGCATACAAAGAAAGGAATAAATCTTTTCCAGCAGCATTAACCAGTGACTGTTTTAAAAGATCTCGAAGTTCAGCTAGCTCAGAAGATGTAAGTAGAATCAAATTCAAAGCCTGAAACAGAAAAAACGTTATGAAAACTAGTTCTTAGAGGAAATATAATTTTCCCAAAAACATAAATGGATATGGCCAAAGGAGCAATGAAATATCAAGTACGAAGTGACTTTGTCAACAATTTAGCCTATTTCATAATGTCATTATCAAGTAGAAAGTATAAACAATTATGGAGACACTTCATTTTGTTGAATTTACATATTGTGCCAAAACAGAACTCCAACGAAATTGTGAATTGAGCATTGTTATATTATTTAAAGATCTCAAATAAATGAGAGAACCTGAACCATAATAGAGGCAAAATCCAAGTCTGCTTCTCCCTCCAATATTGTGGAGAGTTCCCGGTATACCCTTTCAGCATTCAAAAGAACACAAAGTCTGCGGATTATCAAAGCACCACGCCTAGAAAAGCAAGAGAATAATTAACAAAAGAAATGAGATAAATATGAAGGGAGAAATTAAGGAAACGGGAGGCATGAAGACTCACTTCTGAAGGAGAGAATTATCCACCCGGAAATTATGCACCAGAAAAACAATAAGCTGGTGAAAGTTTTTTGGATCTTTTGCTATGCATGCATGAATATCAAGAACCAGAAGCACAACCTATAAGAAGAAACTCAATGCCGGGATCAGATAATTAGCAGGTGCCAAAATAAAATTAGGTTTATCTTTAGCAAAAAACTAAATGCTAATAATAATTGGAAAAAAGGGCAAACCATCCCCTCTCCTCCTTGATTGGTGGCAAATCTGACCCTCAACTAAAAACAGTAGCAAAGAACCCCCTTAAACTGGTTGAATTCAAGCACATAAAACCTAATTTAGGGGAATTTGGTTAAAACTAAAGGGGCACTTGTTTGGGTGGGTTCCACTTGATGATCTGGAGGCTACATGGTGGCCTCTGTGGAACTGATGTGGCACATTTTAACTTTTTCAGAGATCCGCTTTGCTTGTTTGCATATCAACCATTAATGTGGAATATAAAACACTGAATTGGCATTTAATAACTGAATTGATGTCAGTTATCTATTAATTACTAGTAAATTAATTCTTAATCTTAACAGTTAAACAAAACAATTAATAAAAAAATAGTAATAATGAGTAAAAAAAGATAAAAACCCATCTTCATTAAAAAAACCCCTTCTCACTGTGATCGGAGGTTCCAGCTGGTGTTGCAGCTGTGTTACATCATTTCTTTAGGTTTCTTTCAATGAAAGACTAGTGAATAATAAGAATTGTTAATCACAATCACAAATTAGCTTGCACATCTACAGTCAAAATATTGCAACTTCCAAGCTCCAATCCATATGGAAATTACCATGGCGATTACTTATTAGGATGCATATCAAGTTCATTTTGCAAATATTATCAGAAACCCATGTGGAAAAGCTGAGGCTTTTGAGCTTAGAGAACTGATGGTGATTACTGATTAGCATATCATGGTTTCAATGCAATCAAACCTATACCAGACAACCACCAAGCATACCAGAAAATGAGAACTAACCCATCCTATAGACATTTTCCTCACCTCTGGCCTAGTCCTCAAGAAACCAATCTGTGCTGTCAGACTTCCTTTCTCCTAACTCTTTCCTTTCACATGATACCCAGATCTAATAACAGTAGAGCTACCCACTTCCCTCTTCTCTCCCCATTCAATCCTCTTTTGCCTCCCTCTCCAACTGGCAGCCACATCTGATTCTGCTACCATTCTATAGAACCACATCATTTCAATGGTTGGAAAGAGAGGGAGAAGAGAGAGGAAGATGATGGAAAATGGAATATGCAAGGACATTTATGTCTTTCATATATTTTAGTTTTATTGATTATTTAAATTATAATTTGCCACATCAAACTCCAAAAAGGCAACATGGCCTCCATCTGTCCACGGTCCACCCATCACCACGTTAGCTGTCATTATAGTAGTAGTAGTAGTAACAGTAGTAATAGTAATAATAATAATCATAATAATAATATAGATAATAGATAATAACTTGCTAAAGTTAAAACCTAGATTAGATAGGTGAATATTTCCTATTCCCACAATCAAATACATATGTTTTAACCTTTTGTCTCTAAATAATCATTTCATTTTCCTCAGTACAACAGTTAGGCAACACAACATACATAAAATGCTATTCTAAATGTGGTGATGCCAACTGGGATAATAAAAATCTGAAGTCCAATTGCAAAAATTGTAAATATGAAAATTGCACAGGCAGGAAACACATTACCTCATCAGAAGGATCTGACAGTGCTTTTAGAAGAGTATCAAATATGTCATTCAGAAAACACAAAACCTGTTCAGATAGAATATTAACCACCCATATGGAAGCAAAGTCAACAACTGCTAAAAAAAGGGTTTTGCCACTAGAAAACTTCATTTCACTCCAATTTATATAAAAAACAAATAATTTAACTGTAAGCATTTACAATAGACAATTAACAATTTTTTTCATCAAACGTGTAAATCATTCAAATTAAATTTGGGACAAGTTTTCTTGTTTTTCTTTTTTCTTTTTCTTTTTCTTCCTTTTTTTTTTTTTTTTTTTTTTTTTTTTTTTTTTTTGTAAAGAGTAATTTGTGCGCATGAGATTTTCACCCAGCTTTTTCTTACCTCATCACGATGTCTGCTCAAAAGGGTTGATATCCAATGCAGTGCTTCTATCCGAGTAGCCTCCCACTCACTCAACAGTTGCCTGATCAATTAAACTAACCAGAGGTCACCATGAAATCCTAGCCAAGAGTAATTATTCCAAAACTCCCAAATAAATGCCATTATAGCACCCTTTTATAGCTCTTCAAGAGACAGAAGAGTTAAACATGCCCATAAAAGTGCTACTTCTGATAAAATTTCAAAGCTAGCATTTCCCAGGTAAAAAAAAAACTACACCTCCTCGCAATAGAGAGGATGGCTCCTACATCAAATGCTTCCCCTGGATCGCAGTTTATTGCACGTAACTCTTCATTTGTTTCACGAGCAACCTAACACACAAAAAAAAAGGAGAAAGCATTCAGTTCATAAATTTTGAGTCAGATTCAAAAATTGCCAAAGGCTGGAGTATAGTTTATAAAAAAGCATCTTACCACTCTAATTTTCTCCTCTTTATCAGATATGCAGGGAAGAATTGCACCTAAAATATCAGCATAGTAACGAACAAGCTGGTCCCCACCAAGTTTTACAAACTCATTTATCTATGGAATAAAGAAATAGAGATGAGTTCATTATATTTAAAAAAGCATGCAGACTGCACTTATTTGTCTAAAATAAAGCAGTCAATTGATCTATGAATAGCTAGGAAAAATACATTGGAGAAAATTTTACTGTTAGGAGAATTGATAAGGGGAAGAAATACATACAATAAGTTCCCTTCCATATTTTTCCTTAAATTTCTCATTTTTGTAGCCAGTTCCACCACCTTTCAACTTACCCAAGTGATAGCTGTTAATCGAGTGAATTCATCAGGAGAAGCTGCCCTCTGCACCAGTATTTCAGCCATGCGACCATAATCTACAGACTTCAAGAGTAGCACTGCCCGAGTCAGAAAATTACAAATGAAAAAAAGGTGTTCTTTTTATTAGAAAATACTTGGGAAATTATGCATTAAGTTCCAAGGAATGGGAAAGGGTAGACTAGGAATAGGCCAAACAGCATTGGAAAACTCTGGAGTTGTGAGGTTGACATAAGCTTTCTAAAGGATACTGACTTCCACAAATTGGCAGCCTGATCCACATGGAGGGTGGAATTTTCTATAAATAAGCCAGTTTCTTAAAAAAGGAATCAAGTGATCATCACAGGAGATATCAGAGAAGCTTAATGGATGCCCAAAGACTTTTAAGAAGTAACAATAAAAGCATTGTGAAGAATTTAATGCCAGCAGGAGTCTTACTGGCGAGTTCTTAATCTCTTGGAGAAACTCTGAAAGAGCTGAATCAGCTTGTTGCCTTATTTCATGACTAGCATCACTCAACATACTGAATAAACCTGAAATTTACAAACACTTTATTCAAAAGAACAACCAGGGTATCATGACAACAAGCATATTAGTTCTGAAAAACAAAATAGAAGTCTTTACCATCAAGAAAATCAGGAAGGAAACCAAGCATATCAATATCTGGAACACTATCCAGTACAGTTATCCATCCCACCAAAAACTGGCGGACATATGCGTGTAGGACATTCATGCGCTCTTTCAACAAAGGTATAAATTCTTCAATGCTGAAGAAGAAAAACACATTAAACATTAAATAAAAGAACAAATCAGAAGCTCATTAGCCATTTTGGCTTTTGATTATAATAACATCCAAGGAGTGAAGTTGGAAGGGAAAATGGCACCTGAATTGATCACTTTCAGTGACAATGTCCTGTTTCACAAGGGAAAATCTGAGAATTGATTTAACAAAAACATAATTCAAACAATTATCAACACGCCGCCCTTAAAGGGGATTCATTTAATTTTACCTTTACAAGGCGATCTAAAAGATGGGCAGCACTCTGGACATTAGGATCTGAATCCACTGAGAGCTTACATAAGGCATCAAAAATCTGATTAAAGAATACAATAAACTCTCCTCGAACAACCTGTAAATCATAGAATGTGGCATATAAATTAGATACAATTCCAAAAGAGAAGAGAGAGAGAGAGAGAGAGAGAATAGCTGATTGGTCAGTTCTCACCTTTGCAATGTTATACAAAGCTTCACAAGCATAATACCTGACCCTGGCATCTTGGTCAGAAAAAGAATTCAGCACAGGAGGCACAATTTGCTGGCAGATTAATCAAAATCAGTATCATGAGTCTTACACTGAAGAAGGAAAATATGCAGGACAAGTTAACACAACACTAGGACAGAATAATATCATTGAAACAGAACTCTAAACTACCTGTAAGGACAAGAGTATTCAAGCTCTCAACTCAATCCCACAAATTTCTTATAACAACTATAAGGAGCTTCCTAACATGAAGCACTCAAAGGGTAATTTAATCTAGAAGTATTTCTTTTTACTTTAAAAGTCTTGTTGTTGCATGTATACAGTAAAGCACAGCCTACACATCAACAGTACAATAAATTAAACCATTCAAGTCTCATCTCAATAAAAATTTCACCTACATAGCTTTAGTTTTTAAAGGCCTCCATAGACATTTTAGAGAGATGAAATTCTCAATTTAACCATGAAGAATTTCTCCGGAATCCACCAGAATTGAAGAAAACTCTCAAATAGAATTTTATTAGGACAAAAAACATAATATAATTCATTACAGCATCACTTAAACTTTACATACTAAAATTAATCGGTACCTCCAGATGTTGGGATGCTTCAGTAGTCAACCCCACAGTTGCAGCAGCTAACCCTATCAACCCTCCCTAGACAGACAAACACCATAAAACTCAAAAATTGAACATCAACAATTAAACTAAGATAGATTAAAACTAGAACCGAATTTAATTAACCAACCTTGCGGTGATTCGCCTGAGGGGATAACATGAATTCTGTCGTCAATAGATTGATCACTGCAGATATCTTGTCATGATCCCCGGCGGTTGCAAGCTGCTTCACAATCCCCTCAAGCTACATACAAAAGTAGTCACAGTATTCAGCCAGATCAAAATCACACAATTGAACATTCAATTGAAAACCCTAGAAGTCAAACTTTAGGAAATTCCGAGAAAAAGACCTCAAGAGCGGCATTTTTACGCTTCTCATAAAGCTTGTCAGATAGATTCCGGAAGACGGAAGCAGGAATGACGGAGGTCGCATCGGCCATATCAAGAAACAACCAGAACCAAAACGGAAAATGAAAAATGGCTTTCTCCGACCTGGATTTAGCTAGAACGGCTGCGGACAACATCGTTTTCGTGATCCTTCTTCATCTTGAATCCGAAAATAGGGTTTCTCTTATAAAGCGAAACCAGATCTGCTGAAATTCAGAAACAAATCGATGGATTTATTGCGACCCGATTTTCTCTGAGTTTCTCTTCTGTTAGACGGGTTTCCTTTTCCGACGATGCTATGAATTTTGCTTTTAATTTCTCAAATAAAATGGAAGTGAATTGAGAAACCCAACAGAGGTGCAACTGCTGTGGATAACAAGCAAGGTTTTTAAAACCGGACCGGTCATTGAACCGTTTTCAGGTTTGGTTTCTGATTTAATCGGTTTATCGGTTCAGGTTGAACCGATGAATCGGTCGATCCAAACAGCAAGAAAGATTTGATGAGATGAGCAAGCTGCAGGCATGGATTTTCTAATTTGGTGTTGATAATTTTGTAATTTTGTTAAAATTAAAGGTTAAATGGGTATAAAAAAGGAATGAAAAGGGTGAAATTGGAAAAAATTGAAAGAAGATTGTATGAGAAATTGAACCGATGGTTTTTTTGGTTCTATTGATTTCATCGGTTTTTATTGGTTTTCATCGATTTTTACCAATTTTTATCGGTTTTGACCTTAAACAATTTTTTTATATAAATCAAACCATTTTCATCCCCGGGTATTGGTCTGACTGGTTCAACCGACCGATCCGGTCCGATTTTAAAAACCTTGATAACAAGTGAAATGACCAAACGCGGTATATTCGTCTTATGATCCTTCCTTTGTTTTATTTTGGTTAAATGCTAAATTTGGTCCCTCAACTTTAGGAAATGCATATTTTTTATCCCTTAATAATTTTTTGCACTTTTTTTATCCATCAACTATACGAAATGCACTTTGTTAGTCTTTCTGTCAATTTAGGCCGTTAACTCTACCCATGTGGCATGTTTTATATTTTTTTTTGATGCCGTGGAGAGTAAAATTTAGAAAAGTACTGACATGAACAAAATGTTCTGCCATGCCATCTTCCCGCGAAGTCAAAGGCGCCAAACTCAAATGGGCCCCACATTGACTGCCAAAGCACCAATAAATTACTCCTATGAACCCTAAATTGCTCTTTCATCTCCACTCCTTCGATCTTAACCCATTTCTTCTTCTTTTCTTTTCTCGAGGGAACTTGAGGAATTACCTAAATGCAAGGAATTTGTGATGAGAGTTGCTTGAGTTGGGTTGCCTTTACTGCTAGTGGGGGTGAATCCTTACAATATATCTGTGATTGTGGTTTGAATGTTGTGGTGCGAACGTCGTTCACTTACCAGAACATGGGAAAAAGGTTTCGTGGGTGCCCTAAGTTGGTGGTATGTTCTATCCTAAAGCTTAATTTCATCTGCACTGAATTTTCTTTTTTGATTTAATGATTTAACCTTGTTAGAAACCTTGCAAGTACTTCCATTTTCTTCCTGGTGAAGAGACAATCAAGGGCAAACCAAGGGAGTTGCTTTTAATATTAAAAGACAAGGAACAAAAGCTGAAGAGAGAGAATGAAAAATTGAGTAAGGAAAATACTGATTTGGTGCTAGAAAATGGGAATTTGAAGAATGAGAATGATATTTTGAAGAACGAAAATGAGACTTTGAAGAATGATAATGGGTATTTGGCAAATCAGTGTGAATTATGGATGAAGAAGATGAAGACAACTGAGAAGAAATTGAAAAAGTTGGATAAGGATTACCAGACATCAAATAAAGTCAACCACATAATGTGTGTGGTTTTTGTTGTGTTTGTGGCTGTACTTGTCATATTAGTTGGTGTGTTTAGGTTGATGTAATGGACATATATAGGTGTTTATATACAAGTGTTTGTATCTATATGTATAATGTTTTTGTTATGTTTTTATCAATTCCCAATTGTTGAAATGCAATGCATTTCATTTTTAGGTAACATAGTTTCTGGGTTGTTTCAATTGCATTTTTATACCAATTTATGCACAAAAGCATTCTGGTATCCAAAGATAGGCAAATTTGGCAATTGGTCATTTACCTAAAGCAATTCACAAAAGTCAATATATGCATTTCATTAATCCTAATACCAAAATTACCAAGGTTTTGAAAATCGGACCTGATCGGTCGGTTGAATCGATCAGATTGGTACCCGATCATAAAAAGGGGTCGAGTTAGTACTTCAAACCGTTTAGGGGGTTAAACCGCTCAAAACCGTTCAAATTGTCCAAACCGATAAGAACCAATAAACCATCCAACCGACCGGGCCAACCATTTAGAGAAAATTGGCAAGGTTTGTTGCTGGCCGTGGGTCTCGAACACGAGACCTCATGAGATTTCCACAACTCCTTTACCACCAGAGCAACAAACCCCTTTGTGAAATGAGTTACAAACACTATCCTTTAAAGAATATTACAAGAGCAAAGGAAAAAATGATAATCACTTTCACCGAATTCAAACATTGACTCTCTTTTATGTTTTGAACAAACTTCTACCACTTGATCTGAATCTAGTTAATTGATTTATATTGTCTTGAGATATATTTATTATAATAGAAATACATAAATGAATAAATTTGGCATGTTTGAGATTCGAACCCTGCTTCTAAATGACACAAAGAAGCATTCCAACCACTAGAGCTACTTCTAGCTTTATGAAAAAAACTGCATTATAATATATTTAATATATATCTTCAAAATTCAAATAACTCGATTTTTTATCCCGTTAAACCGGTTCAACCATTAAACCTATGAACCAGAGGTCAAAACGGTTTGACCTCTTGTTCGGTTTTCAAAACCTTGAAAATTACAATGCATATACAATAAAATACAAAATATATGTTGTTCAAATCCAAAATAAAAGCACATTATAGCAGACTCCTTGCCAAATACAACAAGCAACCTAAACTCCCATATCTATCCAAAAACAAGTGTCCATGCAATACCACTTGATGTACTACACACCCTAATCTGTCCAAAACAAAAGCACACCTTAATCTGGCCAAAACAAAAGCACACCCTAAACACACAACAAAAAACTTTACACTCAATAGGGGTAGCAGTCCAAAAACAATCATCCAGGCAATACACACCTTAATCTGTCAAAAAAAGAAGCATCCATGCAAACAACATAGAATAACTTCATAGTCTAAACGTTTGACTGTTTATCTGTGTGAATTTTAGTCAATAACTTTGCCCAACGACCAAGTGCTTCTTCTTCCTTTTGCCCTTCCTTTTGCCTTCTTTTTTCCCATAATAGTGCTTGCAAGTTAGTGGCAGTAACAAATTGCCTACTGTTTCTTGAGGGAGTTGTTGCTGTTATAGATGGAGGTGCCATTAGTGCAGGCACTGTAGGTGCTATTGGTGCAGGTGTTGTTGGTGAAGGTGCTGTTGGTGAAGGTGCTATTGGTGCAGGTGCTGTTGGTGCAAGTGCTGTTGGTGTAGGCGTTAGAGTTACAACGGGGATTCCTCTATCTCCAACTCTTGTAGCCCTCTTTTGAGCATATCCGAACGACAAAATTCTTTCACTTCTATGTCCAGGCCATAATAAACATTAATTACATTAAGAAAGCATAATACACTAAATTAATTTTGCATGAAAATAAGAAGAACATATAGCTAAACTAATCCACATACATTTAATTTGGAAAAACCTATATTCGAATTCACATATGTTCCAAAACCTTCAAATTGTTACTTCCCCTTCCCTTTTGGATAAGCATGCTTGACTTTTTGTGTTTTTGTGGATTGTGAATGGATTTCAGATGGAGGCACAGATGGCAAACCCTGAATATTAGATGCAGCACCACTCAATGTGCATAGAAATATTGTGAGATTTTTATCAATTAATAAAAACAAATTTAAGTTGTTATTTACCTTTTGCATAGTTGGGGTTGGGGTATTTTTCCTTGCTCTCTTTTCTGCCTTCTTCTACAAACATGATCCACAATGTTAGCATTATTTTAAGGTAAAAAATTAAATTAAAAAAAAAAAACTAAGTTGTTAAATCCATTACTGGCCGATCAGCGCTTTTAGCTCTCTTTTTCTTTCTTATAATGGGAGTTGTGGCTTGTTGAACTGGTGGAGTTAGGCTAACTACTTGACTCACTGGAGGATCTTCTTGGGTCATGTTCACTAGTTCTTCCTCAGCAATGCGTGGCTGGTTGTCTTCTCCATGGGGTGGCTGGTTGTCCTCAACAGGAGGTGGTTGCTCCACAAATGGTTCATTCTTCATTTGGGCCACCTAAAAATGGTAACCAAAGTATAATTAACTTAGTGCACCAATATAGGGACAAAAATAAAGCTTGCATGTTACTTACATTCTGCGGTTGGCCTTTACACGATCTGGAATTGTGACCTTTTTGGAAGCATTTCTGGCAGGTCATTTGTCTTCCTTGTTTTCCCATTTTTTTCTTTCCTTCCCATTCTTCAGGATTTCTTTTTTTCTTAGGCTTGCCAGGCATCTTCTGTGTTGTAGGTGGCTGTATGGCTGGCATCACTATTGGTGTCCATTGATTCATGCCTTCAACAACTTGTACCTCATATGCATAAGAGGCCTTAAATCTTGACAACTTGTATTAATCTGAAACATATTCTTCAACTCTCAGTTCTCTTAAACTCAATATAGTCATGGCATGTCTACAAGGAATCCCAGATATATCCCAATACCTACAGGTGCATTTTCTAGCTTCCAAATCTACAATATAAGTGTTTCTGCCTGAATTGACTTTATTTTTACTATTCAGGTAAACCTCAACTTCAAAACCACCTCCACCAGGCCATAGAACTTTGCATTTCTTACTACCTTCCCTATTCCGTACAATCTTAGCCCAAATCTTAGGGCCAAATTCTCTCACAAACTCAGCAAATCCAAACTCTCTCCTAACAACAGTTCTTGTTGCACACATAGCTCTCATTTCTTGATTCATAGAAATTATTGCCTTGTGTCGTGCATCAACAAGCAATGCATTGAACACTTCACACATGTTATTGTCGACCACAGATGACTTAATTTCGGCTTTGAAAAAAGCTCTGCTCCAGTGCTTGGGATCCACATTCATTATGTCATCCTTTGTTGCCAACTTCAATTTGCCTAACTCTGCTAAGGCTGCATTAAATTCTGCCTCATTCAGTGCCTTCACACATCTCCAAAATAAGGCTTGCAATTCGTTCCCTTTGTGTTTCTTCCTGAAGTTGGCATATCTATGCCTAGCACAATGTCTGTGTTCTGCATTTGGAAAAAGGTCTGCAATGGCATCTATCAACCCCTACATTTAACCAAGACATTATCAACTATAACCATAATAAAAAAATTATAATACATTATTAGATCAGGGACCAAGAAACTGCAACAACAAAAAGTTGGAGGACCAAAAAAGTGCAATAACAACAAGTTTAGGGACCAATAAAGTGCAGTAATAATAATTAAGGGACCAAAAAAATGCATATATAAACTTATTGCAACACAGCATGCATACCATGCACACCATGCACGTATGACAGTATAACTGAAACTTGAAAAGTACACTAAATTATATATATATGACAATAAAGTATATTATACATTTTGTTGGTCAGATATTATAGCATAACCATCACCATCTCTTATTTGCAAATCATATTTAAGTTCTTCCAAAAACCACGACCAACTTTCTTCCTTTTCAACTTCCACTATACCCCATGCAATTGGGTACATTTGGTCATTTGCATCTCTACCGACAACAGTAAGTAATTCCCCTTTGTGTGGTCCTTTGAGAAAAGCTCCATCGAAACCAATGACTCTCTTACATCCAGCAATAAATCCCTTTTTCATTGCACTAAAACACATGCATCCTCAAGAAATTAGGGTTGAGTTCAGGTAGTGGCCTCGATGCATAAATCGAAACATTCCCTCATGGATCTCTTGTTCTCAGTTTTGTAGCATAGTCAAAAACCTTCCTTCAAAAGTTTTTCTCAGCCTCATTTTAATAATCTTACGCTGGTCCTGAGTCAACTCCACGTTCAACTCATCCCATATTTCAGTAAAAATATCACCACTTTTCAAATAAACAACAGTAAAACCCTTAGTCTTCAATAAATGGTTCATTGCAAATGTTGAATTACATCTTCGATTGGTCGATCCCCATTCACATGTGTGTTGATTGTTAAATGTCTTGACCATCCATGTCTCAGTTGGCTTATCCCACGCTAACAAAATCTTTCAGTCATAGTGCCTTTCAGTCATAGTGCCTTTCATTATAAATAGCCCTGTGTCTCTTCTTATCATTCTTGACCCACTTAATTGGCCTCCTTTGCATAATGCTCAATTTATCCACAGCTTTTTTAAACTTAGCTTTGTTTAGAAAACCATGCCTAACTCAATCTGTACATTGCCATCATCTGTTCCTCGGAAAACTTTATGCCTACCCTTCCTTCTCCTATCGTGTTCAACTTCACTTCCATCCTCTTCACTTGTTGAAAGGTAGTTGATATCATCATCTGAGCTTAATGAATCCTCAGGACCAAGATTAGTGTGACTAGTTGAAGATGAGGGAATTTCATGACTAATTCTTGCAAGCAAAGCATATATGTTATTATGTATTCCATTAACTCATTAATGAACTAAAAAAAATAAAAGTTAATGAAATACCTGTTGATGGTTGACTACGACCATACCTAACACCTTTCCTAGCATTTTTTGAGCTCCAAGTTGCCTCATGCAAAGACTTCATTTTCTTTCTCGCCTCGACAGTTTCCTCATCTTCATTATCACTCAATTCAGATATATATGGAAGAAAATCATCTTCATCCTCAGAATGTTCACTGTTTTCATTACCATCATTACCAGCACCCTCAACTCTGCCTTCAACCTCAACCCCATGACTAGCATCCTCAGCATCCTCAACTTTGCCTTCAACCTCAACCACATAACCAGCATCCTCAACTCTGCCTTCCACATCAACCGCATGACCAGCATCCTCAAGTCTGCCTTCCACATCAACATGATCATTTTCTACTCTCCCCTCAACCTCAACAGGATTGTCAACAATCATACCCTTATCACTAGGGGCTAGTAATAGGAAGATAGGTAGAATTTTAGCAAAATTTGAGACATGAGACACATAAATATGTACCTTTTTCTCTGCCTTCAACGCCCCCAAAACATCCTTAACGTCATGATCATTCCTAATAGGTTTCAAACCATCTGTAATTGTTTTTCTTGGTTCTAAATACCATATTTGGTCAACCATATCAGCATTATATCCAGCAATACCAATCTTAGTATAAAGTTCAAACAGTGTCAACTTATCCCTATTAATAATCCAGTTATTACATTCACCATCAACATATGAAATTGAATTACCAACTCCTTGTATAAACCTCCCACCCAAATGAATGAAAATTGGTACAAATTTGGTTTCTACCTCATTTCTTGAATCATGCTCACCCTAATAAATAAAGCAAACAAACAAAATAAATTACTCAATACATATTTGGTCTGGACGCGAGTCAACACAACAGACACCAGAAAACCAACAGCGTTGAAAGCAAAAATTTTTAATTGTTAAGACAATTTTACTCAATAAAGAAATTATTATTCAACCCAAAAGTAAATGGGAAAGACAAATATGACACAAACTTCCTATCTAAGTAGGGACCTAATGTCTTTTTCTCCTCGAATAGTCATGCAGTTCAACATGCATCAAATTTTTTGCATCACTTTTATCAAACAAGGGTCTATGTTAGTATAAAAAAGTACCCTCTAAATCAATTAGACAACAATAGAAAAAAGGAGAAGGAAACCCATATCGATACCTCGTCTTCCAGAATCTCTTCGCTTGGTTCCAGGTCGACATCAACAATTTTGGGGTTATTGGGGTCCATCGATCCTACTTTCGAGTGACTTTTCAACAATCGCAACTTCAATTCCCTTGGCAAAATCCTTGGAATCCCAACGAATCTAGGGTTTGAGTTTGAACTTTGAAGGAGAATCGAACAAGGAAGATAGGATAAACTCTGAGAAAATCTTTGCAATCCCAAAAAGGAGAATCGAAAGTGCAGTGTTCGCTATTCTGTAGAAATTATTAGATTTTTTTTTCTCCTGAAAGAGCAAGCCAAAAGACATCTTTGCAATCCCAAGGTTTATCGTGTGCTTATTGGAGCTTTGGCAGGCAATGTGGGGCCCATTTCAGTGGATTTGGCGCCTTTGGCTCGCGGGAACATTACATGGCAACACGTTTGGTCCATAACAGCACGTTTTAAAATTTTTCTCTCCATGTAATAAAAAAAAAGTATAAAAAATGTCACATGGCGGATTTAGTGGCTCAAATTGACAGAAGGACTAATGAAGTGCATTTCGTATAGTTGAGGGATCACAAAAGTGTAAAAAATTGTTGAGGGATCAAAAATGTGCATTTCTTAAAGTTGAGGGACCAAATTTAGCATTTAACCTTTTGTTTTCTTGGATAACCTTCAAGTTACAACTTATTCCTTCGACTTCCAATTTTTTTTTTTTTTAGTTTTAGTCCTCCAATTTCTTATTTCATTGACTTCACCCAAACTTTAGGAGAAATTGTACGTACGCTTTTGAAGGTGTGCACTTATTTTTTTTTTTACTTAGGTACAAAGTTACGACAAAAATCTACTTTTAGCCCTGTAGGTTTTAGTCCCTCACCTACCAGACACTTTTAACCCTTTACTTTGATAAGTTTGTAAGTTTTAACCTCTCACTTTATATTATAACACTTTATATTATAACACTTTTAACCATGTATCTATATGAATTGAAAAAAAATAACTTTCACTTAACATCAGATTATAACGTTTTGTTAGTTCTGTTAGTTGACTGTTAGCTCTATTAACTGACTGTTAGCATTTGTTAGCATGCCGTTATAGAAAACATGAAATTGAAATTCAATTATATTTGTTAGTTTCATCAACAGAATATTAATAGACTATTAACAAAATGTTATTAGTCAGCTAACAGAGTTAATAGTCAACTAACAGAATGTTATAACCTGACCTTAAATAAGGATTATTTTTTTCAATTTGTATAAGTGAGGGGCTAAGAGCGTTATAGTATAAGGTGAGAAGCTAAAACCTATAGACTTATTAAGGAAAGGGCTAAAAATGTCATAATATAATGTGAGGAGGTAAAACCTACAAATTTATTAAGATAAATGGCTAAAAGTATATTTTACCCCAAAGTTACTTGCGCATTATAAATTCAAGTATGAAAATTCCTAAAAAATATTCAAAATCACTATACAAATAAAAAAAAAAGGAAAAAACCCTTATGAGAAGTCTAACATACAATCTCAAAGTCATGGAATCTCAAAGTCATGGAACCTCAAACTCTAGATTTTATACCAATTTATATAAGGCTTTATTGGTTATAACGGTGTAGTTAATTACTTATATTACATAACTTTGCATTATACCCTTATAGTTTCATGCTAATGCACTACACCCTACCAAGGTTTATATTATTAAATTGAGGTTAAAAAGTCAAGGTTGATCTTTTTTTCTCTATTATCACAATACGAACATTCATCCTTTTCGCTATCCAAACATTTAATAAAATTAGAATGAAAAAAAAAAAAAAAAGATTAGCATGGCCATTGTGCAAAGACAAGATACACATTAAGAAAAGGTCCAATTTTATTGCAATGTTGCAATCCCACATCAAAATAAAAGTGAGATTGTGAGTGCTATATAATTGTGGAAATCAACCATTATTAATAACTTGAGCATGAGTTTTTAAAGGTCTATGAACCTTAGTTTGAAGAGTTGTTTAACTAGTGGTGGGCTTCGACTTGGGTTGTTAGTATCCAAGTAATTCCCTTCACAAGTGTGAGGTCATTGTGGAGAAAACTTAATATAAGTTGTTGAAGGAATCCCCCTTAGTCCAAAATAGGCTTGATTAGGGGTGAATCCTATGATTGTAGCCCTATTTAGATTGAGGGCTTGTTTGGATTGGACTTAAATAGGCTTAATGAGATATTGGACCTGAGCAGACTTAATGCGGATGTTAAGCATTTAAGTTGGGAAAATTTTAATGTCACAATCTCACATTGAAAAGAGTACGATTGTAAATGATATAGAATTATAAAAATCAACTACAACTAACAATTTAAACATAAGATTTTGAAGCTTTGTAGACCTTGGCCTGTAAAGTTGTTAGGTCTATGATAAACTTTGGCTAGGATTGTTTCCAAGTGGGACACTAAATTGGCACCATTCTATAGCTAAGAGTGTCATTGATGTTATGGAGCATAAGTCATCATATTAGAATGTTGGCCTGTTAGAAAATGTCTTACAAGCCAACTAGTTTAACAGCATTTATGTACTTATGATTACACTAATTATATTTTTATATAATATATATGACATTTTATATCTAACATTAATTGTTAGTATTTTGCGTACATTAAATATCAATAAAATACATAAAATGATTTATTACATTAAAAGGTGATAGTAACCATCAATATTATTAAGGATTATATGATGCAATAAAATCTTAAACTATTTATCAGTCATATGCATTATTGAGATGAGATGGGACATGGGATGATGTAAAGATTAACACAAGGTGAGACTTTGCTAAGTGGCAAATTTCTTCTCATAGTCATCTCACATGGGTGACTCAAAGAAGATGAGTTCACCAAATTGAACCACCTTGACAACACCACTTGCCCATGTCATTAGTAGCTTCTCATCTATGATGCTAGTGTAAGTGATCCTTTGAATTAATATCATTATGTTATTTGTGAAGACTTGTATTATATTGATGCTATAATAAGAGTTGCTATAAGGAATTGCAAGTCATATAATTATTGAGTCTATTATGAATCACATGAGGATAATAAATGAGTCAAGAGAAGATTCACACTTCTTTAGTTAATAGAAGAAGATATCTTTTGGTCATTTAATTACAAGATAAGACTACTAAAAGTTGTAGCCACAACAAGATGGAGTTTATTTATTGCATTATTTTGTCTAGGGAATAAAAAAATATGTATGGAATTGTAGGAAGGTTTGTTGAAGCAATCAACATTTCCATCAAATTACGTGACCATGGGACATTACTATATCTCACCATAGTTTGTAGGGCAACTTACTACCAATGAGATGGAAACCTAAAGGATAACATACAATAGTGCACTAAATGGAATTATAATTATAAAATTCAAGTTTATGATAAACAAAAGTTTTATTTATGTGAAAATATTATTTTCATAAGAGAAATAAATTAATCAAGTTTTAAAAATAAATTGGTAATCGGATTAAATAAATTATTTAGTTCAAGTTTATTCAAGTTTTGATTTGTTCAAATTAAAGATAAGAAAATCCAAATGTGATAATTATCTTTAACTCACTAGAAAACCTTACAATGTAGTTTTTTGAGTCAATAAGAAAGGCTTAATAAGTTTAAGTAAAATAGTGGAGGTAACATGCATTAATAAAAGTCATTTAACCGATTAGTAATGAAGGACAAGTACTTGTGTACTATACTTTTTCTGTCGTAGACAACATGGTCCAAAACAATATCCTATCGCTACAATCAATCTTGGATAAGGAAAATGTCTTCATTGGCACAAACTTCCAAAAATGTTACAGGTGTCTCTACATCATATTATATATAGAAATGCACTATTATGTATTATAAAACTTTATGTAGATGCCCCTTAGGTAGAAAAAAGTTGCCTTCAAAAAGCACATGGATAATGCATTGAATGTCTAATGCATAATGTTATCCTCAATGATCTCTTAGCTTCAAAAGTGAAATGAGGACAGGGATGCACTATCTGGTTTTCTACACTTTAAAAAGCTTTATGTGAAAAAGGTTAGCAAGAATGACATGAGATATCAAATGCACTTTTCACATGCAAACTGATTAAAGGGTTTGCTTATTGATTGTCACATACTCAAGATGATTAAATATACCATGAAAATGAGTTAACTATAGATTTCATCGTGTAATTACTTTTGCTAAGCTATTCTAGTTTCATTATTAATTTTAAGACAATAACATGAAACCTTTTCTAAAGTTATTGGGAATGAGTCTAGTCCTACTACTAATTAAGAAGGCAAAACCCATACAAGTCATTTTGATGAACAATAAGGGTAAAGGCAATGACAACTTACATAAGATAAAAGTAAAGCTAAACCCAAATAACAAGTTACCTAAAAAGGGGATGATTAAGAAAAAAGGGAATAAATAGAAGACAATGTGTTTATATTGTGGCAAGAAAGAACATTAAAAGAACTGTATAAATTTGAAGAAAAAGCAAGGAGACACATGTTGTTTAGGTTTTTTCATTATCGAATCCAGCTTATCTATATCTACATCAAGGCTAGTGGATACTAAATATGGTTCTCATATTTGTGTTCATTTATAGGAACAAAGTAGATTAATAAGTTTATTTAAAGGTAAAACAAATTTATGCATGGGAAATAGAAGGAGAATAATTGCATTTGTAAAAGGACTTTAGTATAACTTTGCCTAGTGGATTAATTTTATAAGTAGAGCATTGTATTATGTGTTGAGTATTTCTAGAAACATAATGTCAATGTTCGAGGCTAGACACGAAAGGATCTTCATTTGCATTAAAAATAATTTATATTCTTTTTATTTAAAGGAAGTATGATAATGGCATCATTGATTAATGGCTTATATATTCTAGACTTGGAAAGACCTTTATTATACATTGATAATAAAAGATAAGAGTCTGAAAACACAAAACAAAGTACCCATGGCATTGTAGACCCGCCATATAAACGAGAAGAGAATGACAAAAGTCTATCAATATGGATACGTAGAGTTACTTGACTTAGTGCCATTTGAGACATGCTAGTCTTGTTTACAATGAAAAGTAGCTAAGGCATCTTTTAATGGTAAAGGTGAAAGAGCCTTAGACTTGTTGGAATTAATCTACATAGATGTTTGTAGACCTTTTCCAATTGAAGCAATAAGTAGGTATTCTTACATCATAACTTTT